ACCTGTCTTACCAAGATGTTTTCAAGAGTGAATAAAACTGAGATAATCTATGTTGCATCTAGTACTAGCTGGCACATATTTTATGCCCAATAAATGCTATTATCTCTTTCTCCCTTAAGATTAGATACATTTAAATGAAATGGATTCCAACATCTTACCAGGTTTTTAAAAATTAGGTGTTTAAATTGCTATATTTCCTCTTGAAGTTTGTCTTCAATCACTTTACAGGAGAGTCAGAGGGGTCTCACAGTAATAATTACCCATGGCCTTGGAAATTTTTTGTTAGAGATGTAATGGGATATTTGTCATTCAAAACAGTCACTATCTCCTTACTTAGCAAGTAAAATGGATGAACAAGTAATTTAACCTCTTAATTACATAGCTAAACTATATCAAAACTAGCTACGGCACTAAAATTTTGTTAAATGCTAATGGAAAAGCAAATTCCTCAAAACTAAAAAGCAAGAACATATAGGACAGTTCAAACAACCCCATTTGGCTCCAGTCATATCTTAAAACAACAACAAAATAACACACAGTAAAACATCACTAAAAATGAATATGCTTTTTCCTATTGAATAATGACAACTATGTGACTATCTCTCTTTTTACTTTGGCCTAGAGCTGTGTGGTCTTCAGCCCTGGCTGTGCATCATAAGCATCTGGGGAACAGATGCCCAGGTCCCCTCTAGATTAGTTAAATGTAAATCTCTGAGGGGAACAATGACATGGGTAATTTTTTAAACTCCCAGGTAAATATAATACAGAGCCAGAGTTGAGAACAACCAGCTAAGAAAACTCAAGGCCAAATGTATAATTCAACTATACTTTAAACATGTCGTAGGCTCTTAGAGCCTATTTATTTGTGTTCTATTTTACCCTTCATTCCCTAGCCTCCACCCTTTTCCTATATCTCCTACTTTGTTTTCCCTTATCCTCAATATCAAAATAGTTATCAGATTATATTTCCCATAAATCATCTCAAATACTTGGTGAAATGAAGCAAATCAAGAGGTAACACACATGCACTCTGCTCCACCCTCCCTCTTTCTCTCTCTCTCTCTTCCTCTCTCTGTCACACACACACACACACACAACTACAGCAGGACCTGTTCCTAGTGTAGAGATACAGATTAAAATCTAGCAGTAAAATCAGTTACAGAATGTCTCCAGGGCAATTTAGAAAACATGTCTTATCTGCAAAAGCCAGATTTAGCTTAGCTCTAAATCTCTCTCCCATCAACTCCTTTTCCACCTAAAGACAAACAAAAATAAAAGAAAATACAGAAAAAAAATTATTGGCAGGAACAGTAAATAATCCTTGGAAATAACATAAATGAATAAACATTACATAGCAAATTCTGACAAAGTACTAAAAGGCTTACACCTCAAGATTCCAAGTGCATATCAAATCTTAAAAACTGCTGCTAAATACAATGACAGCACCAAGAAAGATATTACAAGGAGGGAAAAAAATCTTAAATTTCCTCATCAAAATTCTAGATGAGAGAGGCTATGACAGGGTAGGTACTAAAACAACATGGTCCAGAAAAGCAACTACCCTATCAGTAGGCCTTATTATGGAACAAGGAGGTAATTAGCTCTCTTGATGAACTAATCAAGGTGGGAAATATACAGGCCCTGCCCTAAAGGAACTGACCTGATTATTTCCAGATCAGACTGGTTTAAAGAAAGATTGACTTGGAGGAACTGAGAAGGCACCTGTGACAGGGAGGAGCCACTGCCCTCTGACTCCTCCCTGCTTCTCTATTCCAAATAAACCTAGTGAAAGCATACAAAAAATACAGATGCCCCTGCTCTCCTTCCACATTCCAGAAATAAGTACTGGTCACTGTTGTCAGAACAGGGCTCTGTACTCACAGCTGCTGACTATTTAAGATGAGCATTGGTGAAACAAGAATTACAGGCCTAAGGCCCATTAAAAAAAACAGTTTAGCTAGTAATAAGTGCATTCACTTTTAGTAGTAAAGGATTTAAGCATTCTATGCATGAAGGAAATCTTCAGAGTGGAATGCTATTATTCAATACAATATTAGAAAGGGGGGAGTTCACTTTAGATTTCTGTCTCCCTGTACTACAATGATCTATTTATTTTTATGTTAGCCTAGTGGCTAATATAGAGACTTATATTCACAGGCATGCATTATATATCTGTTACATTGTATTAATTCCTACCAGGACACTTCTAATCTCAGTTGTTTGTTATTTTTTCTTACTCTCCAACACCTAATCAGTTATCAAACTGTAACTATTCTACCTCTGCCAGGTCTCTCACATCAGTCACCTCTTTTCTACCCCTTCTATACTAGTTCAAAATCTCACTACTACTTCCACTAACACAACAGCCTCCTAGCTGGTATTCCCCACCTTCCATATCTCTCCCATTTCTCACTACCATCAGTTATTTTTCAAAGCACAAATCTGATAATGTCACTCATGTCCTCAAAAACCCTCAGTGGCTCCTATTTATGAGATAAAATTGAACGCTTAAACTAGTTTAAAAAGTCCCATTCAACCTGGGCCTAGCCTACCTCTAATACATTCACTACCTTATCTCTCACTATCTCTCTCCCACATCACAGACTTATTAACAGTATCAGATTCCTCTTTCGGAACACCTCCATGCCTTTTCTAATATTGCAGCCATCCATGTAAAATATGCTCCTTTCATCTGTCTGTGAAAATATTGCCACTTTCTAATGCCCTGCTCAAATTCCACCTCCTTCACAAAGCCTTACCAGATCCATCCCTAAACCACCACCACCATGCATTGTTGATAATCTTATGCCTTTTACAATAACAATTTCCACATACGCCTGTCTTACTACCTGAATGTAAACTTGTGGGGATAGGGTGGGACTCTGTGGTATATTTTTAGTCATTTCACATCACAGTACTATGTACAGCACTGCCCTGTACTCAATAAACACTTCATGAATTGAACCGAATCCTACCATGACAAGAGTTCAGAGTTTTAAAAAATAATAATAAAAAGTTTAATGAAACACCTCATCAGCCAGATTTAACAAATGAAATTATTTGGCTCTCCTTATCCTTCCAGGCGTTTCTAAATACAACTCTGTATTTTATCCCTGGATCACCCTGTGATTACAAATGTTCAGAGTGAGAGCACCACTATACTTAGATGAAATAATCAAATTTAGGAAGGGGTCTTAAGAAAAACTGCTTATAAAAGGAAAGGCTGGGGCTATGGTAATGGTTATCTGAATCCCAGGATTTTAATATAGATGACAGTAGTTCAGACTTTAGAGGCAGGGAAAGAAGCATGATGACTATGGGAAAATAGAGGGAACCATTGTGTACTAGACACTTACTATGTGCAAAACATCTTGCCAAGTTTATTAAACTCAGCACTGAATTTTCTTTACATAACAACTCTTGAAGATGGTTTTTCTCCAATTTATAGATAAAGAAAGTGAGGTTCAAAGGGGTTAAGTAATGTGCCTTTTGTCACACCATGAGTATGGCATGTTATTCAGACAAGAAACCGGATTTGTCTGCCTACAAAGTTGTTCTTTCCTCTATTACTACAGAGTCTCATGAAAATTAATTAAAACTAGAAGTTTTCCCCAGTTGGTTTTTATCAGTAAACTATATACTCTTAAATCTAATTTGCTTAGACAAGCATGGTTGTCAGCACCTGTAGTCCCAGCTACTTGGGACGCTGAGGCATGAAGATTGTTTGAGTCCAGGAGTTCAAGGCCAGCCTGGACAATGACATAGTAAGACTCTGACTCAAAAAAAAAAAAAAAACTAACTTGCTTAAACAAAAGCAGCATTGCTAGAGAAATAATATAAAAATACTAGACTTTTAATATGATATGAAATGTGAAAATTCTATAATCAACTCCATAAGAAAGCATTTTGTTCCTCACCAAAAAAACAAACAACTAAGTGAACAAACTGTAACATGCATGACATTAACTCATGAAAAGTTCACATTAGTCAAACTGGTTGTTCTTTATGATCCTTGCCCAGGAAGGACCAATAGCCATTCCACCTCAAGTAAAACCTCTTTTTTGATCCTGACAGAATCCAGGCAAGAGCTAAATCTGTGGCTGACTGAGGGGTGATACCCTTTGAAGTTCCTATTCCCAGTAGACCTAATTGAGACAGTCCCTGCAAGAGCTCTCACAAGCAGGCTTTCTCGCTTACCCTATCTTCCCTCTTCTAAGAACTCTCTTCCCAGAAACCAAAAGATCCCAGGTTACCCCCTTTCAGGCCCATTCTCTACCTCTCACTGGAACCAAGCTAATCATTGGTTGAAACCTCAACACATTTCACCATAGAACAATTTTACATACAGTGGTTAGGCTCATCATCATTATACCTTGCTACTGTGTACTCATCTAAAAATGTAAGTACCCTTAATAAGTTTTTCCTGTGGGAAAACATGTTAAGAATCTCAACCAGCCAATTTACACACTTCTGAATGATAATTCAAAGGTTAAAAACTGTCCATGCAAGCAAGACAGGCAAAATATACAAAAAGACTCAAAAATATATGTTAATGTCTATAATCTTTAATCTTACCAGGATTCCACACACACAGAAATAGACGGAAATTATTTCTTTTGACATTAAAGTTAACAGGTTCTCACCTACATTTTAAGGATTCCATTACATTTTTAAAGTATATATTCTACAACAAAAACACTTAGTCCTAAATTATCACAATTGAGGGTTGTAGAGCTTGTACTCAAAATCAGCATTTCTAAAGCCAACATCAACAAATTTATAATTAAAATAAATATAAATTAACAAAAGTAAACTTGTTTACTTCTTATCAAAAGAATATATTTAAAAACAAACTCTTCTAAGTACTAAGTGGGTCTGTTCAAATGTAGCATTCAGTTTTCACCTAGAATATTTTTTATTAAGTAACTTGCAGGGTTAAATCTAACGAATCATAACTGTTTTAGAGAAAGAAGGCAGAAATACTATCTTCACCACATTACCTTCACCTTTCGTTTTACTTCATAGGGATTAACAATTTCCACTCGAGTATTTTTCCAAATTGCTGAGGTAGAGAGACCCATTGTTAAATCTCTACAATACCTAAAACATACTGCAAACAATAAAAAAACCATGTGGTAATTACAATTTAAAACATACTACATTCAAAGTTAACAAAAATAATAAAATAGTAGGCATGCAAAACGCTTCCCACCTCCCGTCCCATCCTTATATCAAAGCATTTAACTGTTTTTATAAACTAAATGCCTGACTATAAGTTCAGTAAGTTACATACATGAATAAAACAAAATTCCTCTCCCCTTCAATAGACTTGCTAGACAATTGTGCAAGCAGTTAGCATCCCCACATTTCAAGAAGAAAGAAACGCCTATTCATTTATCTTGTTCTTACGAGATGTAAAATATTAAAATGTATATTGGAATTGCTTGGTTTACTAATAAAATATTTCCTATAAGTATAGAGGGTTCAGATTTAGGGTACTTCTGAATTTATTTCCACTACATTCCTTACTACATGTTATGCTAGTATGTAATCTTAACCCCAGTATATATGATAAAAAAAAAAGAACAAGGTAATTATATAACAGCCCAATGCGTATTTTTTTAAAAATGGAGCAAGTACTTGAAGACAAAGTTGCACCCTTTAGATGTTGAGGATTGAGAGTCTTACCTCAAAATATCCTACTGTGAATCAATTTCACCAACTATTTTTAGGAGGTGTATGGTGGCCTCTACTGGAGTTGTACGCAGTCGATTAAGTTATCAGAAAAGGATCCAACTTTCTATCACAAAAGACACGTTTTTGTGTTTAAATGCTGCCCGCTTTCATAACAACAATAAAAACAAAGCACCTGTGCATATCTAAGTTCTCACTGCACAGCTGACCAAAGCCCAACCAGAACAATTTCAGAGGTAAGAAGAGTGGGAAGAGAGGTGAACCAAAGTATTTTGGTTGAACCTCGCTAACTCTTAACAAAGATTCATCTTATTCATAAGGGCTGGGGTTTACTTTGCATCTTTTTTTACAGACCAACTGGGTGGGTATAGCGGTTGTGGAAAGGAGAAGGGGCGGAGCAAGACTGCAGTAGAATCAAGGGGACCTGAGAGGAGGCAGTAGAACATCACCTGAAACCTGGTGACTGGAGAGAGGTCGCCAGTGCATCTCGACATGGGTTATTACGAGCAACCATAACAAGCCACAGAGAAACAAGAAAGCTGTTACCAGGGAACACTCGTGCGTATGTGCAAATGTCCCCAGAGTTACTTAGTCACCTTGGTGTGTTTGTTGCACTGGGTTCCTAAAGCGCCCGGGGTTCAACAGCGAGCTGGAGTCCGCAGCTGTCCCCCAAAGTGTTCCCAGGAAGCAAACTAGGCGCGGCGGAGAAAAAGGGACGCGCGGAGTCAGGCACAGCACCCCGCCAGTCCCCAAGTCCCCCTTCGGGTCGGAAAGTGAAGAAACTTCGTCACAACAACTCTGGCACGGCCCGCCAGGCAGGCGCTCCGCCCAAGGCCGAGCCGGGGCCCAGGCTGCACTCACTCCGCATGCCCGAGCCCGCCGTCTCATCCCCGCCCGCTCCCCAGCGAAAGGGCAGTGGAGGAAGCAGCAAGGGGGCTTGCCCGGGAGCCCGATTTCCCGGCCCCACGCCTCTCCTCTCTCGGTCCCCAGCCAAGGTCTTGAGGGGAAGGAGGCGGGGGTTGGCTCCAGCCCCTCTCGGCCACCACACTAACCTCGCCGCTGCTCGCGCCGCCGCCGCCGCTGAACACCTCCATTTCTCGGTCCCAGGGCTCGTCCTGAGGAGCGAATGGTAGCATCTCCCCTTCAGGAGCACTCGAACAGGAGCTGCCGCCTACCGCTGGCGCGGCCGCGCATCCTGTCTAAGGAACTGGCCCGCCGCTGCCGCTGCCGCCGCCGCCGCCGCCGCCGCCGCTACCGCGGCGACCCCCAGCCCCGCCTTCAGCTACCGCTGCGCTCGCCGACGGGTCTCTCAGAGGCTGGGAGCGGGGGGTCGCCGTCGCCGCCGCCCGGTGATTCCCATAGGAAGACAACTCTGTGCTGCCTCTTCAAGAGCTGCCGCTCGGTTCGCGCTCACCACTGCCACCACCACGACGGCCGCTCGGTGGTGACTCCCCCCAACACCCCGCTTCCTCGGGTCCCCTCCCCGCTCCCTGCTATGTCAATATGGCGGCAGCGGCGGCGTTACCTGTGCGGCGCCTGGACTCCCCCCCACCCCCCCACGGCGGCAGCACAGCAGCGTCACCCAAACGTCAATGGAGATTCCCCAGCCTGGGGTGAAGGGGGCGGGATAGAGGGGCGGGGTGGATGCGGGGGACCGAGTGGTGGGTGGTGGGATAGAGGGAAGGGGGGCGTTCTGGGCTGGGGAAGCGGGTGAAGAGTAGTAAAAGCCCCTGCTAGCGCCTCGGTAAACCTGCCCACTCCACGGAGCATGCGCGGCGATCTTTACACATGCTCAGCAGGCCCTCTCAAGTCCACGGAGCAGCATTGCTGGCGCGCGGTAGGATTCTCAAAAAGGATGCTAGAACTGGGAGAGCCTCCCGAACAGTTGAGGAGTCAGGGTCAGGTTAGGACTCCAAGAGTATCTCTGCAGGGCTCACGAAAAGCGAGTGTCTTACATGCCAAATCACGCCCATTTCGATACTTAGTGACAAATAATAGGGCGGGTGTTTTAGTACATCATACATTATCCTCCTAGAAGGTAAAGGCAGGATAACCCCCATTAAAAAAAAATGAATATACCTGTCCCCCCTACCCCCTACCTCACTTGTCCATCTCAGGATGCTCCCGCTGGTTGTCCTCACACTATTAATGACAAACAATGTTTCTCTTCTTCACACATGCACACAAACACACACAGGAATACATATGCCACTTAATGAACTCCATTTGTGGCAAATAAAAAAATGATAAAAAAAAAAAAAAAGGCATGATTCTGAAGCTAGGCCATCCTCCAGCCCCATCTGAGAATATTGGGTCTGTAGTGATGATAATCATAATTTTTTCTACCTTCTTCAAAGCGAGCTTTACTACTTCGTTACTCTAAGCTGCACGCTGTACTGGGAGCTTGCGATATGACAGAGATAAAGTACAATCTTATACGAGGAATAATCAAGATCCTTCTCATCAAAACACTTCAGAACTGAAAGTTAAAAATTTATTCCACATTTGTCACTTCAAAGACAAAAGAGCAACTGTAACAGGGCTAAAACAACGCAGGACCTTAGAGAGATTTCTAATGTTCTTCTTAAAAGGCATACCACCCCGTGCCCCCTTCTACACCTAGGGCTGTTGTGGTGTGCTCCCGAAAACACTGAGCTATGCCTTCCATTTGTCTCATCATCTGGTCTCACAAGCTAATGAAGCAAAACTGACCACAGAGATTGCACTGAATTACGAACAAAGATAACTGATAGTGTCCTCCCACTTACTCTGCTGAAAATCTCAAGGAGAAAGTGAGCTTAACCAACAGGGTTTTGTAAAAGTCAAAGCTTTGAAAGTAGTGGGTGCATGGAGCTATAAATCGTGAAAATGTGTGTGTGTGTGTGTGTACACGCACACGCATAAACTCATATTTGGCTGAACTGACAGTGTTAGCTGGGGCCAACCTTTTGAGCACTAGGTCTCATCCCCTCTTGCCTACTCAAAGGCTTTGTTCTGTAACCCGCCCTACACCGACAACATCTATTTTTCTCTGTTGGATCTCTCCTGTCAGCAAAAAACATGGTAGTGACAGCTTGCTTCAACACTCACTGGCATTTGATGGAAGTTCATGACTTCCTTTCTCTTTAAATATTCTCTTTAGTTGGCTTCCAGAACAAAATAGTGTTTCTTTTTCTCCTACATCATTGTTTTTCTTCTACATCTTCTCAGTATCCTTTACTGGATCATCCCTCACCTTCCCAATCTCTGTCTGTTGGAACTTCAGGTTTCAGTCCCACCCTTTTTCTCTTTTTCTAGGTATCCCCATATCCCATCCAGACTTGACATGGTCAGGCTTTGTGTCCCCACTGAAATCTCATCTTGAATTGTGATCTCCATAATCCTCAAGTGTCAAAGGAGAGACCAGGTGGAGGTAATTGAATCATGGGGGTGGTTTCCCCCATGCTGTTCTCGTGATAGTGAGTGAATTCTCACAAGATATGATGGTTTTATAAGACGCTCTTCCTTCCTTTGTTCAGCACTTCTTTTTCCTGCTGCCATGTGAAGAAGGTGCCTTGCTTCCCCTTTGCCTTGATGGTAAGTTTCCTGAGGCTCCCCAGCCAGGCTGAACTGTGAGTCAATTAAACCTCTTTTTAAAAATAAATTACCCAGTCTTAGGCAGTTCTTTATAGCAGTATGAAAATGGACAAATACAATAAATTGGTACCAAGGTAGTGGGGTGATGCTATAAACATACTAAAAAATGTGGAAGCAACTTTGAAACTGTGTAACAGGCAGAGGTTGGAACAGTTTGGAGGGCTCAGAAGAAGACAGGAAGATGTAGGAATGTTTGGAACTTCCTGGAGACTTGTTAAATAGCTTTGACCAAAATGCTGATAGTGATACAATGAAGTCCAGGCTGAGGTGGTCTCAGATGGAAATGAGTAACTTGTTTGGAATTGGAATAAAGGTGACTCTTGCTATGCTTTAACAAAGAGACTAGTAGCATTTTGCCCCCACCCTAGAGATCTGTGGAACTTTGAACTTGAGAGAGATGAGTTAGGGTATCTGGTGGAAGAAATTTCTAAGAAACAAAGCATTCAAGAGGTGACTTGGGTGCCCTTAGAGGCATTTAGTTTTATGCATTCACAAAGAGATGATTTGGAATTGGAACTTAACATTTAAAAGGGAAGCAGAGCATGAAAGTTTGGGAAATTTGCAGCCTGATGATGTAACAGAAAAGTAAATCCAATTTTCTGAGGAGAAATTCAAGCTGGCTTTAGAAACTTGCATAATTAATGAGGAGCCAAATGTTAGTCACCAAGATAATGGGGAAAATGTCTCTAGGGCATGTCACTTTAAGACCTCATTATGTACAAAGAAAAGTTGGCATGCTTATAACAACTTACTAGTCTATGTAGTTAAACATAATTAAAGTGCCTTTTATTCTGATGCCATGTTAAGGAATCCAACTATGAAAATGGGCAAATTTGAAGGTGTCTACAGAAGATTACACACACACACACACACACACACACACACACACCAAATCACATACACACATACCAGAGAGAGAGAAAGAGAGTGAGAAAGGGAGACAGAGAGGCAAATCATTCATTTAGAATGAGAACACATGTGGCAGGTGATAGAATTCTAGGTTACCTGTGGTCAACAGGTCAAAAATAAGCAAGTTGAAATTAGGAAAATAGGTAGACATTGAAATGGGCAGAGTTTTTGCCCAGAGTATCATGACACCTTCAGTAGACACGGTCTAGTACCCTGGATAGCTCCCTGGAAGAGAATTTGATTTAAGTCTAAGCCTGGCCTCAGTAAGAGAGCCTTTTTTTGGACTTAGGAGTCCCAACCCTTGCTAGGGTTCTGAATATTAAGGCAGCCCACAAATTTATGTAAAGTTGAGTTTCTGAAAAATAGAAAGTGGAGGGTTATTTTAATACCCCAAGTCACATTTCGACCTCCATTACATAAAAGGGGCACATATTTTGGCCTAATTTGGAAAAATGTAGGAGTATACATATTCTCCAAGTAGGCCTATGACAGAGCCCTTATACAAAACGAGATGTTTAAAACCAAGTGTTGGTTTTCCATACTAAAACTCAGAATTACATTCATTATTTTGATTCTGCTTTTAGTGATTCAAAGTTCATTTGGATACTAAATTATTTTGTGAGTCAACCTAAAGTCTAGGTTTGAAAGATTTTAAAAATAGATGTTATTTTTAAACTAAATTATTTTGTGAGTCAACCTAAAGTCTAGGTTTGAAAGGTTTTAAAAATAAATGTTATTGAAAATCTTATAATCTCTTAACATTTTCAACAAACTACATCATATATAATTATAAAACTTATCAAAAGGCAACACAGCTTCTACCTAACTTGTCTGCTATTTACGTCTTTGAGTATGATCTAATAAACTTGAATGGAAATGTAATCAAAGCAAGATTAAAACCTACCCTTAATTGAAGGTCCAACAAAGACATTACTTATCTTAAAACTGTTTTCTTGCTTTAATTGATATATAACAATTGTGCATATTTATGCAGTACATACAATATTTTGATACATGTATAAAATGTGTAATTATCAAATCAGCATATTTAGGATACCCATCACCTCAAAGACTCATTATTTCTGTGCATTAGGAACATTTCAAATCTTCACTTCTAGCTACTTTGAAATATACAACAAATTATTAACCACAGTCTCACTATTGTGCTATTGAACATTAGAACTTACACCGTTTACCGCATATTTGTACCCATTAACCAACACCCCTTCACACCGCCACCCTTCCAGCTTCTGAAATCCATCATTGCACCCTCTATGAAATAAAAATTTTAGTTCCCATACATGTTGGAGAACATGCACTATTTGTCTTTCTGTGCTTGGCTTATTTCACTTTACATAATGACTTCCAATTCTGTCATGTTGTTGCTAAAGACAATATAATATTTTATTCTTTTTATGACCTTATAGTACTCCATTGTATATATATACCATATTTTCTTTATCTGTTAATCTATCAATGGACACTTAGATTGGTTCTTTA